AAAATGGCTTTCTTCTGGTATTACTGGAGCCTTTAGCTACATTTTGAAAAAAAATGGCTTTCTTCTGGTATTACTGGAGCCTTTAGCTACATTTTGAAAAAAAATGGCTTTCTTCTGGTATTACTGGAGCCTTTAGCTACATTTTGAAAAAAAATGGCTTTCTTCTGGTATTACTGAAGCCTTTAGCTATGTTTTGGAAAGATGGCTCTTCTGGTATCACTACAGCCTTTAGCTGCAATATGGAAAAGGGTCTCTTCTGGTATCACTAGAGCCTTTAGCTACAATATGAAAAAATGGCTTTCTTCGGCATCATTGAAGCTTTTAGCTATGTTTTGGAAAGATGGCTCTTCTGGTATCACTGGAGCCTTTAGCTACATTTTGGAATAGTGGCTCTTTTGGTATCACTGGAGCCTTTAGCTACATTTTGGAATAGTGGCTCTTTTGGTATCACTGGAGCCTTTAGCTACATTTTGGAAAGGTGGCTCTTCTGGTATCACTACAGCCTTTAGCTGCAATATGGAAAAGGGTCTCTTCTGGTATCACTAGAGCCTTTAGCTACAATATGGAAAAGGGTCTCTCTTCTGGTATCACTACAGCCTTTAGCTACAATATGGAAAAGGGTCTCTTCTGGTATCACTAGAGCCTTTAGCTACAATATGGAAAAGGGTCTCTCTTCTGGTATCACTAGAGCCTTTAGCTACATTATGGAAAAAGGAGTCACTTCTGGTATTACTGAAGCCTTTAGCTATGTTTTGGAAAGGTGGATCTTCTGGTATCACTGGAGACTTTAGCTACATTATGGAAAAATAATTAGCCAAGAGGAATCAACCAAAATGAGAAATGTTATTCTACAAAAATATTCTGCATATACAACTTGCCTCAACAATTAATTTCACACAGTCAGTTCCATTTTCCTCAATCTAATTTACTCGTGATTCCAAGTACCTTCCTTCAAATATTATTGATTTATATTAAGCCACTGGTTCTCAAAACTAAATTTAAAATTAACTGGCTGCGACAGTAAATCCAATTTTTACTTTTTTAGTACAACAATAGAAATTAAAGGTAACATCAGCTTTTTTGTTAGCATTTGTGTTATTTAAACATACCATACATCTTCTACCTTATTTTAATACATTATTTTTCATAATTAATCAATTACTATGTTTATGTGCAGTATTCACATAAAACATGATCAAGAATGTCACTAAGTATGTAACAATGATTTTATTCAGTTGTTTTTATCATTCTCTGGAGATATCACCTGTTCTACCCATGGGATGTATGGCTGTAAAGCTGCAGTGAGAATGTAAGCAGAATTAACCTCAATGATAGGTCAGGTGATATCTTGATATTAAACCTCACTTATGTTTAAATATGAATGACCAGTCATGTGGGTAATGATAGTCACTTTGGATAAATTCAACTTTACTTAAGTAAAGAATGTTATATATAAGTACTCTGTTAAAAGTTATTGTCAAGTGCAGTTTGGATAAAGGTCTTAGAGCTAGTAAAAGTGACAGTCCAGTATCTAAGCAAGTACACACAACAAAGTGTTTGTGTTATTTAATAAAGACTAATGACTGCGCTTACATTGTCTCCAGTTTCTTTAATTCATTCTCATAAACTCAATCATAGTTACAGAATTCTGAACTACTCAACGATTGATATGTTGTCAAATCTCCTGTTATTCAGGCGATCAATCCCACAGTTCTTAAAGCAAAATAAACAAGGCCTGGGGCTCACTGCTATGGAGGAACTGCATAGGTTTTGATTTTTTTCTAATGAGTGATTCTTAATGTTGAAGTTTCAAAATCCCAAGATATATAGTTGACCCTTTAATTATTCTGTTGTAGAATTTCCATTGCATTTTTCTTTTATTGCTAAACATCAATAGCCCAGCACTTTGCACCTTGCTCAGGGCCCACACTGGTTAAGTCTGGAAGTGGTTAGTGAATACTCATATGAAAATAAAGAACTGAATGATATTAAGTTATCTTTACTTTTCCAGTATTTTTTTTTCAAATTTTCCAATCTCTTTTTTCAAGATTTCATTTATATAAGAGGAGTATTCTGTCATTACCAGTAGACCAGTATACACAGTTGTAGCACTAGCATATAGTACATGTCCACTGAAAAATTAGTGAGAAATGATTCATTGAAGAGCAAATAATTCACGAGATTTTTAACCTGTCTTTCAACAAGGAGTGTTACTTACGGCCACTCGTCCAAGTCCAAGGAACGAACCTTAGACACATGCGAACCTAAGTTTCTGTGGATTCCTGAGCATTCGATGCACATATTTATACATCTATCACTTAGTCCTTCTAGAAATCTTCTTAACCTCAACATCAATGGATTGCAAATGCAACAATGGTAGCATCGACATCAATAAATTACAAATGCAAAATTAATTAATAATACTACCTATGCTAAACAGTGTTTTATATATGACAGTATGAATACACACTGTTTTCCTAAGCAATAAAAGTTCATGGAAACAGATATATTCTACAATGTATTATTTCTGCATCTTGCTTTTCATGATTGAAATTTATATGCTGGATCTGTATGATATTCTTTGCATGTTTTTCTTATAATGGTAGACCCTGACTGGGCAAGTCTCAATCTTGGAGCTTTAATGTGCAACCAGACGAGCAGAAAGAAAATAAAAGTAAAGTCACGTTCAAGAGAAGTTAGGTCAGAGAAATGTTAAGTTAACCATCGTGGGAATGAATGGCCTAATGGTTGATATGTTAGAGTGAGATTAACAATTTGAAAGAGATAAGGAAAATAATTTGTCTCATCAAAGGGTATTCTAAATTAACTGAACCTGCCTGTGTGGACTGTGACAAAAGGCAGATGATTATTGGAAGTACAAAGAGCAGATGATTATCGGAAGTACAAAGAGCAAACAATTATTGGAAGTTCAGGATACAACTGAGGCAACTCATGTGACAACATAAGTGAATTATACTAATACTATTGAATTAAAATAGAGAAAAATAGTTTGGCTTCTTAACTGAATTCTAAAGCAATTGAATTGGCCTAAGTGTACTTTTGACAAGAAGAGAAATGTATAGTGTTTGAGATACAACTATGATCTCCATAGTGTAAAAAAGTTTTGTACGTATGTTTAACTTGTTTCGATTATATATATATATTATTTTAAAACAAGTGGAGTGCGTGCTGTTTGTTTATTGTTGAATTTATCGCCAACAATTCACAGACACCTACTGTACAAGAATCCTTGGCCCAATACATCTATATATTTACATTGTTATCTATACTACTAAAAAGTAAGTTTCCAACACATACTTTCAAAGTTATCATTTACAATGTTTCTCCTTGTATGTGGTTTCACCTCCAAAGTGTTAGAAGACATTACAAGTAAAGTCTGTAGCAGTTAGAAACAACAATAGTTTCTGCAACCCTGTTTATTTTTTAATCTTAATATAGATATGGCAGTTATCACTTTATTTTGAAGTTCACTGCAGTGTTGATTTTTTGTTCTGTACATAATACAATAGTACAAAGACATTTTGGTGGACTTCTTTTGACCTAAAGAACTACCCTATTTTTGAACCAAAATAGACTAAAGGTAAACTGCAAAATAATTTTACCATGTTGAACCTTGCTTCATGTGCATAAGCTATTCTTGACAAATAATCATAAAACCAAGACTTTCTGTTCTTAAAGAAAGACATTTTAAAAAATTTATAGCTAGCTTAATATGATAATCAAGAATTGTTTGATGGTTTACTTTACTTTATATCAAATTCATTTCTGATATGCATACATAATTCATTTCAATACTTCAAATTTAAGTATTTTTTCATAAATTATTAAACCGTTACGAATAAAAGCAATTTTTGTGTACTGATTTTGATAAGCAGTAAGAAATAATGCTTTATATATTTGTTAGAGATAAAAAATGTCATTTCACAAATTACAAAAACATAACGTTAATAATTACTGGGTACACTGTGGAATGATTTGTAAATTCTTGATTCATGATTTTAGGTAGTCAAATCTATATCAAAACACATTTCATGTGTTCAACCAAACAACTTCAATAATACAAATATTCCTTATAAACATTCAAGAGCTAAGTATATATTTTTTTCTGAAATGTGTCTAGATGGAAATATTCACAACAAGTGTTCAATCATACCACAACACTTACTTGGTGCATCACAGTCTACACATTGACTATTACCAGGCACATTGTTTCGAATTGCTTGCAGCAGTGAAATATCTACTTGTATATTTGGCCTTGACTGTTGAATAATAGAAAGAATGGCAAAAATATTAAATAATTCATGTATAACTGAGTTTACAATATAAACTTTACTAGCATTAATTATTTTATTCCACTTCCTTTACTATTTCTCCTGTTTTATTTTTCTTTAAAGTACTCTACAGTTTGTAAATACAAACATTTACAAAATTTTTAATTTTTTGTGCACATCAGAAAGTGTCCATCATTACGAAAATTTCATTTAACATAATTGTATTATTATTGAGTTTAATTTGTTTAAACTAGGTTCATTGTCAATACACACTTAAGAAATGAGATTAATTATATGTTCTCACATATATAACAATTTCTCAGAAAATCCTAAACATATCAAAATAGTTTTAGCTATCTGTATGTAAATCTGATGGAAAATGCATATATTCAAGTGCTTGACTGCCATTTCTTTTCTTCTATTTTCTTGCACCAACATATTAAAATGTGCAATTTTTATGTTAATAAAGGTATAACTATTTAGTTGATATTTTAAAGAGGTATATGCATTGTGATCATTCAGAATATTGTGGAAAAAATCAGAATCTTGGGATTAATTTTCTAAATTCTTATCTGTAGTGCTGTACAGGAAATTTATCAATTGATATATTCTGCCATTTGTTTCACTAATTGTGATCAACCTAAATTGTATGGTCTTAAAATGAAAACCTGTAGATTTTAACCTTTAAATAAAAGGCAAACCACTGAGTGTAACTTTGGAGAAAAAATAGCTCGGTTCCAGTAACAGCAAATGTTCAGCTTCCAAAGCAAGTACACAAATTGTGATTTTGCTTTAAATAATAAAGATAATTCATTGTATCTAGTCTAATTCTTTCTGAAACTCCATCAGTTTCAGAGAAATTCAAAATGACTGTAATAAACATCTTGTTTGAATTTCCCGTTATTCTGCAGACTTATCCTATCAGTCTAATGAAACTAAGTTTCACCTGACTTAATACAGATGTATCAGTAAGAATTTTAAACCAACATGTACACACTTATACCATAAAAATACTTACCTTGGCTTTTGTACTTTCAATTCTTTGTAAACTAGATAAAATCTGCTGTTCTATAGCCTTTATCCATCCTTCTCGTTCCTGTTGTGTAAATAAACAAAAATAAACAATTTCAGTCTTTTTTTTTTTCAAAATTTAATATTTTTTATATTTTTAAATGAAAATTTAAAAGGAATTCAATACAAACATCTTAATATAAAACAAATAATTAATCAGTTTAAAACATTGCCAATGCTGACATTAAAAAAAATCATTTTCCAGAAAATTTTCAAAAAGAACACTAAACACATCACACTCAAATTTGTGTACATTCTAACACAACAGCTTTTGATAAGCATATTATAATAATTAAGTTGCACATTGATTCTTATTTTTCTTAATTATTTATATTAGATATAAATTATTTTTTTATTCTTTGCAATTTGTATTTACTTAGGAATTGTTTGTTTGAAGTTAAGCACAATGCTACACAATGGACTATCTGTGCTCTGCCCACCACGGGGATCTAGAGTATAGAATATATTTAAATACAAATACAATGAGGATTTAAGTATGTTATATTAAAATGATTTTGGAGCCTCATCATTTCATTAGAGTTCATGTTGCTATATCCAGTCATGTTCTCTCTGACAACCATGTATTTTAACAATATCACTACAACATATTTTTGCTGCAAAAACATTTGGTTCAAGTCTGTCATGTTCAATATACATCATGCCTCCTTGCAAGCCTTCCACAATCTATCCAGTGTATTAGGACAAATTTCCCAGAATTCTTTTTAATAGTATCACCTAAAATTGCATAAGCACTGTGTCTGACAACTTCTTTACTAGGTCTTTGTGTGGAATACCATGAATACACATTTCCTTTTCCAACTGCTTGAGGTATGTACAACAGTTTAACAGCAGGAATGACTTGGAATCTTATCTTGGTTAATACATACTCTGTTGGCCTTGTTTCCATACAAAACAGTCCAGAACATTGGTCTCACAGTAAGCATAGTTCATATTCACCTTTGTGCCATCCACTCTCTTGGTCCCTAACTTACTGGTGATGAAGTATCCAGTGCTGAATATGAATCACTTGGAAAAAGTTTTGAGCAATAGCACGTACCATTTTTGAAATTGTTTTTACAATTTGACCAGTAGAAAATGGTACAAGACTTTTTAAAGTTTAAGTACACATAGGCTTTGTCAATTTTCAATACTTTACTGCCATTTTAACCTAGCTAAGTACCAATCATAGTTTTCTGCATATGTTGTGGAAGCAAACTGTCACTTTGTACAAGTAGATCAGTACTTGATTATGTTGCATGCTGTTACCTGGGTCAAACAAATGGTTTTTGTCACTGACCTTTGCATTAGTGGATTCTCTCTTGTTATAAGACACTTCCCAAAAGCAATAAATTTCATTAAAATCAAAACAGTGTTGAAAAGTACTTCTGATACATCCTGTTCCACTGATACATTATACAAGTTGTGTTTATCACACAAATTGCTGATTTGCATATTCAAAATAATTTTAATATAACTACAATCCTCTGTAATACTAAAATCAGAAAACTACATATTTGCAATGTAACAGCTTACACCTTCTTTAAGAGTGTAAAGTTATACACTGAAGAATCAAACAACAGCCAAGATGTATAATAAGGCTTTTTTGGATAAAAAAAAAGTTAGTTTATCCAATTTTACACAATTTACACATTTCATAAATTACTTTGTCACATTCAGTTGCTATAAGACCTACATTAGAAAAAAAAATTATGTGGTAAAACTTAATTATAACACATTATCAATAATAATTTTATTTTGTGTTCTCACTTATAATTCATACATAAAAAAGTACAAAATAGATGTATTCTTTTCCAAACAGTTGAGTTATATTTATAAAATTATCCCTTCCAGTATGTCAATAATCACACTAAATCCTTGTTTAGTGTAATTATTTTGCTTATATTACTTCTGAGAATTTTAATCAACTTATAGAACCTTACTCCTCAGATAGTAGGGAATGCATTATTATTAATGTTATAATGAAAATATTCAAATAAATTTTAAGTTAATTATAGTGTGAAACTAGCTTTTATGCTATAAATAAGAAATTATACCAGATCTAAAGAAAGAGAAGAAATGAAACATTTCACATTCACTTAATTTATTGTTTTTGTACTTTACTAGGTCATTTAGAAAATTATTAGACACTTACTTGTGCACTACTAGCTTCAAACTGCCATTGTTTGTTGTCTATTGACACTATGACAAACTCATAGCCACCACCAGAATCTGAAACTTTCAAGAAAAATATAAAGTATATCAAATGTTGATGTCACCTATGAAAATGTCTGCTTCTGTTAAATAACCGACAAAATTTGTATTTAGAAGCACACAATTTTTAAATTTTAGCTCAATTATCTATACAACATACCAGATAACAGAATAAAAACATAATAATTTTAATAGTACAAATTCAAGCAATGCCTATAAATGTTACAACAGATTTTTAAGACATTTTTGAAAATATTAACCCTTATGATCCTGCCTGAACATAGTACTGTACCAAGTTATAGAATTAAACCTGCATAGAAACACAATATGCATGTTAAAACTAGGCTGCTAACTATAAGGAGAAGTAATAAAATGTAATTAACATGTTCCATCTTCTACTTTAAAATTATAAGAATGACATACAGATTAATGTATGTATTCACTGTAATTTGAATACAGATTCATAGTGTTGGCCATAGTTGGCTTACAAAACTATTACTAAATAATAATAATGAGGTTTATTGCATTTTATAAGAACTAGGTTCTAGGTCTCATATTGCCCTTCAAACTATTTTCTTCATTGTTGATCATGATTAATTTGCATAATGAACTTGATTACACATATTGCATACACTGAAATTTATACTATAATAATTAAGCTTCTTTGCAGATAACAAAGTCATTCTTAGATTACGTCTTAATCGACATTCCACAGACTCTACATTGTACATCGGGTTTCTAGACCACATTTAAGTGGACTGAAGCACAAAATTACATTGGAGGTGTATCATGGGACTATACAGACATATGGTCAAATGAGACTGCTGTGATTCCAGTTTCTTCGGCTTTCTTTCTCATAAAAGTAGCCGCTGAATTCAAAGTGTAGCTGGGTGCTTGTGATCCGAGACTCTGTAAAACTACAAATATTTTCTTTACTATTTTGCTACCATGTACAGTGATATGAATATAGGTTCATATTTCATAAATTTCATAAAATTTTAAATGGATAAAAAGGAGCTTATTAGCCCATCAAGGATGTCCCTTCCAACTCCCAACTATAACCACTCCATATTAAATGTATTCATCAAATCTTTTCTTGAACTTAGAAACATTTTCTGTCTCAACCACCCTTGGAAGCAGCTCATTCCAAACGCCAACCACCCTGTTTGAAAAGTAATACTGTTTAAACTGCAGACGACTCCTATGCTGTCAAAATTTGAATTTATGCCCTCTTGTCTTCACTGTTAAACACAAAACGTTTCATGGATCTACATTATCAATATCCTTAATAATCTTAAACACTTCAATGAAATACACTCTGACCCTTCTCCTCTCCAGATAAAACAATTTTAGAGATTTTAGTCTCTCCTCATAGGACAATCTCACCATCCCAGGTCTCATTCTAGTGGCTCTTCTCTGAACCTTCTCCAACAATTCAATGTCCTTCTTGAGAAAGGGAGCCCAAACCTGTACACAGTACTCTAAATGAGGCCTTACAAGTGATCTATATAGTGAAACAATAATATCTTTTGTCTTGTATTCAGTATTTCTATAGATGCTACCCAGAATCTTATTAGCCCTATTGCTAGCTACAATACACTGTTTAGATGACTTAAGTGATTTTTCAATCACAACGCCAAGAACTTTTTCATCAACCACAGTATTTAATGCATTCCATTTAAATTGTGAAAGCCTACATGCATCACCTTACATTTTAGATAGTTAAAACATCATCTGCGATGTATTTGCCCAATGCATCAAATGATCTAAATCTCCCTGTAAGTCTGAAACATCTTTGATACAGTTAGCCAGC